TGGGTGGGTGGGTGGGTGGGTAGGTGGATGGACAAATGACTGACCATATGTTTAATGCAGAACGTAAAGCATGCTATGCTATCAAATGGACATGCACTAAGTGAGTTATGCTACATTTTGAACGGAAATTCATAATAACCATCTAATGCTTTTCTTGTGAAAACCAAATACTGAAGATTCAAAAAGTGCACTATATATCCCCGGATTGAAATGCATTTTGCTCTTATGTTCGCCACATAAACCTAATGTTTCCTTACTAAGTACTGACTGCATTTAGCTTGGATTTGGCTTTTGAAGGACTTAGCTTCCCATCATTGATGTTGGGTGGCATCAAACCAATATCAATATATTGGTTAAAAATAGTTTAAATTCAAAGCCGCCATTTTGGATTTTGTCGCAATTTTTTCTTTTCTCAGCGGCTATCGATAGTTTATTTTTTATTTTTCTAACATGTTTATATGCATATTCATTATCGTTGGCAAATTTCAATAACCGACTTTTTTATGCAATTGTCGTCCTATAATTTCACACCTTTAGGTTAATCATTGCACAGGTTTCATTAGAAACTCGGAAACGCGTGCTTGCGGGGAAAATGGGACGCCATCCTCTATTTCGGGCGGCCGCGTGTGAATCAAACTTCAATCTGTGGATATAATCCTCTAAAATTTAAAGCTTTTGCACATTGAATTATTAAAAGCGTGAAAGAAATTCAATCACCATAAACACCGATCTTCTAAAAGCTGCAAACAAGGTCTTGAAATAACAAAGAATTAAAGGGGATTAAGATTGGAATCGCTGCCAGAAATGATAGCAAGTAAGACCGCTTACAAACCCTCAAAATAATTCTATGCAAAGCTATACTGAAGAGCCCGCCACTCACAACGAAAGAAAAGTACACTCGACTCTTGCTTTAAAAAGTCGATTCACTTATGTACTAAGGGTCATGTTTTACTACTATCACTCTCAATAGAACTTAAGACGTGAATGATGGCCCTTGGATTTCTGATTGAATAGGTACTTTTGAAAGTGAGCATAAAACAGAAATCACAAAGATTGCTCAGCTCAGTCGTGGAAACGAGCGAAAGCGCGACAATCAGCCTTACGTCTACCCCCTTCGAAATATGTAGTTCCTAATTGCTAAAGAAATATCAATTACCGGTGGAAGGGACTAATCTCTCAGTGTGTGTTGCAGCAGCTGTGTCCTTAGTAAAAAAAAAACAATGAATGTGTCCTACACATATAATCTTTTCATTTCAAAACCATTCGAGTTTTCAATGGGCAAATAAATGTATTGGTATATCATTAGTGACTTTTGACTAATTTGACGTTAAATTACAGTCTTTTTTCCTTTCTCTTATGTCTGTCTTTTATTCTTTTTCCGGATCACGTTTTATTCTAGCATAGTATTTTCTTCTTTCAGCTTTGTTTGTCTTCGTATTTAAGAGTTTCAAAGGTTTCGGAACAAATATGTTAAAAAACGATGATAAAAACCACTCGCAGTCTACAGCAAAGGAAACAGAAAGACAACAACTTAAAGAGTTCTCGAGAATATGACATGAAGGATACAGTCACGCGCTACTCACGCAATTCCTTTACAAACCAAAACTTAATTCTACAACCAGAAAGTCTATTTAAAACTATATAGTGTGGTTATATGATAGGCTTGTTAATAGAGTATGGCTGCTTCGAAACTTTCAAACGGTCGTTTTTAAGAGCGACATCACTGACTTCCATAACTTGGGCTTTTTATGTTGTCATTTGAACGAGAGGCACTTTGCCTTCTGTCTTGTAGTTTCCGTTTCATTGATCGCTTATTCATGTTCATTTTTGTGTCCTTCTACATTCTGTTTGTTTCGAAGGCTTTTAAGTCCTTGGAGAATGAACCAAATTAAACAAACGCGC